TAACATGTCCACTTCAATATACAAAATTATATACAAAATCTAGTCATTAGGAATTATTACATGATTACTCCACCAGTCACTAGTTAAGCACACACACTCAGAAATGGCATATTATTTGCAGATTATTAATTCCATATCAAACAATCTTTTTAGACCAATTAGGTGAAATAGGATGATTTGAAAAGCGGAAGCTCAGAGGGGACCGAGCTTTCTCATTTTATCAGACAGGGCCCTACACTCAGCTCTTTTAAAACCCTTTTAAAGACCCACTTTTACTCTCAGGCCTTTGAGTGAGACTTCGACTTTATCTTAGTTGTCTTAATTTCCCTCTCTTACTTGGTTTTGTTTTTATTTTTTTTGCTCTTACTGTTTTTAATCTTTGAGTTTGTCTTGTGTTGTGGTGATAATTGTGTTTTAGGATCTGCTCAAATGACCTGTACAGCGCTTTGATTTTAGCTTTGGCTGACTGAAAGCGCTTTATAAATAAAGTTGAGTTGAGTTGAGTCGAGGTTTGGTGGGTTTTATATCCCCAGTATTGGGTTTGTGCTTTAACGACTTGTTTCCTGTCCGTAACGGTCTCCACAATAACGGTAGAATATTACAGAGTTTATTACCGGGGCTGTCGTGTACGGCTTTATTGAGTCTAAGCAATAAAGTTGCCTGTAAAGTCTTTTAAAAAATGTAACATTAATGATCTAATCAGTCTGTTAAAGCAGCGCCTTTGTGACATTGGTCACTTAATAGCCCTGACATTGATGGAAAAGGCTGTGCTATATTAGCCATTCACACACGACTGGGCAATAAATCAGTAAAACCTAAATAAACTTCCACACAGCAACATGTAATTTTGCCAAAAAATATCATATTTCTCAGTCAAGCAAATATGCCAGAGATGGATAGACTCAGTTTACATTAAACCATTTTTTAAAACGTGTATAAGCTCCTTACAGAAAATCCCCCCAAAGTCAGAACTGATCTTGGATGTGTTTCTGTTTGTACACAGAGCATATAACTGCTGACAACAAAAAAAAAAGGACCACAGAAATTTGGTTGCTCTCAGACACTAATAATTACTCTCTAATTACTGTTGATGTAATGGGAAAATGAGAAAAGAGATTGCTTTTAAAGCAGGCCATAAATCACACCGCAGCTGTCTCACAATTAAAAGGAAGAACAAACACTGTCCTGAATTAGTTAGTTTTAAAGCTGTAACTTAGAGCGGTAATCCATCAGCTTGCCAGGCAGCAGGTGGTACTCGCTTTTACCTAAATAGCAAACCAGCAAATCTAATAAAGCTTGTCACACATGAGAGTTCAGCTCCTGAATACACAACTGAATACACAATACACAACAGCCATAATGCAATTTAGGAGGGGAAGCTGAGGTCATTTTTTAAATCTCTAACACACATTTAAAGGCAAACAAGTTGTTCATTTTTCTTAATTTTTACTGAGCATCATTTCCATCGTTCCATCTCTTATTTCACCCTTTGAATAGATATAAATCCAGACTTTTTGCTTATAACTGTAAGCCTGAAAGAAGTCCCTGTGTATGGAGCTGAGAAGACGTATTGCATAATGAACTGAGCCCTGATTTGTGTCTGGTCCCTGTTGCTTTTATTCTAGTTTCCTTCATTTTCTGTGTGTCCACGCTCAGTTTAAGACCTTTAAAGTGCAATTTGAAGCTAAAAACATTTCTAACTTGGATGATCTTCTTTCTTGTGAGTCTGAAAGACCACCAACATCATAATATATAAGGCAAGGCAAGTTTATTTTACAGCACATTTCGTGTACAAGACAATTCAAAATACTTCACAGAGATGACAACAAAAAAGGAAAATTAATCAAAATTAGATAGATGAAAAGTGAAGGGTTCAGACAAAATATGTTCAATTTCCATATGCACAGTTAAACAGATGTTTTCATCTGGATTTAAACATCCAGAGTTGGGTTCTGTCTCATATATTCAGGAAGACTAATCCAAGTTTTAGGATCCTGGAGCTGAAATGAAGCTTTACCGTGTTTAGTTCTGAATATATAAATATAAAGGATAATCTTTGGCCTGTGGCAAAAACTGGAGTTTACTTGTTTGTTTCATTATAATGTCATTAAGCAGCTGCTATGGAAAAAAATTATGATTAGCTAGCTTATCCTCTCTAATTTTTCACCTGGGTGATGTGTTTTCAGTTAATATTTTCCTCATAAACCTTGTAGGGCTGTTAAGGTAGAGTTTCCCCTCTAAAGAGAGACTGAGAACTCATTTTACAGAACATTTACAATGGCCCCGTACTCTTTACAGTCTGCCAGACAGCAGGAGAGAGTTCAGCTGTGGAACGAGGTAGCCGGTCTGTGAGCGCGCACGTGTGAGCGCGCACGTGTGAGCGCGCACGTGTGAGCGCGCACGTGTGAGCGTGCACGTGGTCCTGAAGGACCCACAGGGCCGAGCGGCTCCGGTTCTGTTCAGGCCGATTAAAGGTGTGTGAACAGACCCCTCACAGCTACTCACAGACAGATCCTCACTCCGGAGAGTCTCTTTCCCTCCACACAGATATTTTAAAGCTCTAATTCCCAACCAGGAGGCGAATCTCTGCTAAGCTCACGCACCAAAACACAATTATAGTGATGTGTGCACATTCACTAGGGTTGTCATGATACTAAAATGTTCAACTGGAAAATATTCGATACCATTTTCGATACCACAAGGATAAAAACAAAGACCCCAAAATTTAACTGAATTTTGACAGGTTAGTGTCTTTGGTTTCAAACTGACCTGTTACTGATGTTATGGTGGCCCACATTAATGACCCTAACCCT